TGAACAATCCGGTACGCGCACCGCTCTGCACGTGCCACCGCCCTCGATCGCCTTCATCCACCGGGCGGAATCAAAAGTTCGCCCCGATTCCGGCGCGCAGCGGAACACGACCTCCCCCCGTGGGCCCACCGCGCTTAAGGGGTAGGATTTTGTTTTCAGATTTTTCTGAGAACTTTTTTTTGTATAATAATTTTTTTTTGTATAATAATTTTTTGTTCACGTTAGGAGTATTTTGACGCTGTGAATTAAAAATTATTAAAAAAAAAAAGTTCTCAGAAAAATCTGAAAACAAAATATATGTTATGAATGTGATGGACGGTGAACTAACAACACAAATACACACACACACATACACATACTCACACACACATAAACATACACACATGCACACACACACACACACACACACACACACACACACAAACAAATACGTCCATACACACGGCTTCGTACATCAGCACACCGAGTTCATCAAAGCGACTTGATAGTCGGGGCGGGCTGTTGATGAAAGAAAGCCCGCCATGACCCAACGAAGTCATAAACTCAAAAAATGGAAGCGGCAGCAAGGGAACTGCAGACTGGGCTGTCGGTCCCTCTCACACACACGTGTCGACAAGACGATTTATGGAGGCGCTGTAAGGGGGGAAGACATGACTGTACCCATCAGCCCAGCCAACCCACGCCCCAACGACATGGCCCCCACAATTGAGGGTGGAGAGGACGGAGCCAATATGCTGCATCGCATCCAACAAGGAGCCTCTGGGGGATCCATGCATCACGGGATAAACATAGCTGCGCCCCGCTCGGTCCAGAACCAGCCACAGCCTGGTTCCACCCCGGGCCCCAATGACCGCATTGAGGTGCCCAGATCGGAGCCACCTCGTCCTGGTACCGCCACAGAGCCATGACCAGATCATGGATATATTGTCCAACCCCGGTCAGTGCTGGAATGGCCTGGGCCTGCCTCTGCCTCTGCTCCATTAACAGACAGGGAGCGAAATGCAGTGCCCCGACCAGAATTGACAGAACCAGAACCAGAATCAGCACCACCAGGGACCTCATCTAATCAGGCAGCGGCTCCCTCAACCACGGACCAAGGGAACAAACAGTCGACCTCTCCCTGGCAGGCGGACGGGACCACCTCACAGACTTCCAGGGCACCCGTTCAACAGCAACCGCAAGCAGGCCGAAGCACAGTGTATAAGAAATCCAGGGAGATGCACGCCCTCATGCAGGCTCTGCCCGCCTCAGGACAGGCCACCTCACACGAGCCACTTGCCTTGGAAGCCATTGGCCTCATGAAGGCCCACTTTATTCAAAAATTGCACATATGGCCAATCAAAAAATACATTATAATGGACGGCTTTATTTACCCACATGCCATCTTTCCGCCACAAGCAGTGGTGAACATGATATATGCACAGAACGCGGTGCAATTCGTGTTCCCTCAGACCATGGCGACCATCCCAATTAACGAAAAACTTCAATGGGTGAACGGGGATTGCGATCCATGAAAACCAGTGACCAGGCAATCACTAACCACTTTCTTATTGAAACAGCTGCCCCGGGCATGGTGACGGTCATTACAATCTACCCGCTCGACAGAGCAAATCTCCTCAAGATGCCATTCCCTCGCTACAAAGGCCATACAATGGTGATCAGGCCATGGGAACCACCCACGCTGTTCACAGCGGACCAGAAAAGAGAGCAGCTAATGAGGAACCACTTCTAGGTGGAATTCCGCTTCGCCCCGTTGAACGTGCAAGGAGCGATTTTGGCATACCTGCAACAAATAGCCCTGGTTCTCGGATATATCAATGATGCACCCCAGTTCCTTCCTAAAAGGGATGACACGCTCCTAGCGGCAGTGGACTGGGACCTCGCTGTCGGATTTCCGGTCAGCAGCCAGTGGTACTCACAAGAGGACAAAACCTTTGCAGTACAAATGAATCATCCCCAGGACCCCTGGTGCTATGCGTGCAGACTCTGTAGAGGCAGGGACCATCTTTCTACAAATTCTACTGTTGCATCAACCAATATAGGGTGAGCAGGTATGCAGCGGAAGTCTGATAAATGGACTGACTCACATAGACTGAACTCATACAGATATCACTCAACACACAAGCAATCGTGAGATGGTGGGGTCTGAGCCAATCATAGACGATGCTCAGGCCCCGTACAACCATACACAGATGAAAGGTGGGAGGAGAGACGAAAGAGGTGGGAGATGTAGGCAGCGCCAGATGTCACCGAGATAGAATCCAGTAGGTCACCGATATGGTAGTCAAAAATGTCATCGAACAAGATCAAAATGTCGTGGACAATAAGTCACCAATGTCGGAGGTACAGAGTCCTAAT